TGCTACAGAATCAAACAAATGGGCAATCTAAAGACAAAAGAAAAGTGTAACCTATGGGTATTAATTTCATGACCAACATTGTGTATTTGCTACATGATTCTCTCCTCCCTTCCCCCTCTTCACCCCTTCTCTCTAGCTGAATGAAAAGTTTAAATTCATTGTGTTTATCTTACATCATCTTCAGGACTTTTTGTTATTTTATGGTTTTCCTTTAATGCTCCAGACTCCACAACATCTATTGCTATAAAGGTGTAAAGGCCCTTAAGGTGTGCCTTTTCTTCAGAGATAAAAACAGGCTTTTTTTCCTTAATGAGATGGTCCAATAATGCACATCTACAGAGACATGTCCTAACTTGAGGCCAACCCTTAAGCCAGTATAGCAGTAACCAGGAAGAATCTTAGCAATTCAGAAGCTGCAGTCATAGGAATGAGTCTTTTAACCAGTAGTGTCTGCAAGATCAGAATCTTACTAATTCCAACCCCACACAATTACATTTATCCTCTTATAATTACCATACAAGAGCTGTCAGAGTGGGATTGCTGCATCTGTCCTCCCTGTCAGCACCATAGCTGGAGTGTGAGAAAACTCATGCCTTCACACTGCAGCAATATAACTTGTCTCTTGTTTTGGGCTGTATCTCATATGTCAAAATCTAGGGCCAGAGAGAATCCACTGCACTGTTGTACTGCCAGAAGCACAAAGCAGAATCACACATTAAAAAGTACCCAATCAGAAGGGCCATTCCTTGACCAGCAATCAAATGCAGTGGCAGCATCCACTCCTGTGATGCCAAAGGATACCTTTCACATAATTCATGTGCATAAATTGTGCAACTTTGAGCTCCAGACGCTGCATACAAATGATATAACTGATATGAATATGAAATCTCCTGTGCCAACAGGTTGAAAATATTGTCCATGATAAGGGTCTTCATTAATTATGCAGTTTTATCACATTAAACTGTAGGTAAAATGATCTCCTACTGTGCATTTTTATGCTGTAGGACATTTTCTATTCATTTTGGAAGATATTTTCAGCCATTAATCCAATGCCTTGGAACCTTGCTGAATGTCACTAGACTTGCCAACAAACTAACCTCTGGGCAAAAAACATATTTCCTTTTCAGAAAGCAGCCTCCTAGAAGCTTGTTCCCTTCTATAAGAAAAGTTTATGGAAGGAGAGACAATGTTCAGGACCAGCTTCCAGACCACTCAGGAATTTACTTATTAGAAACCACAATGATGTTGCTGAGTAAGTTAGTCACTAAATATAACTAACTACATGTAACTAAAACAGTTATATTATTATACCAGGAATAGATTAGGCAGTTTTCTTGTTTACTTCAGCCATTTCTGGGATCTTTTTCTCATTAATTTGTCCTTTGAAATCTCTAAAAAGGAGATACCTTTACATACAAGAAGGCAGCAGAAATATTTTTCCTTATGTCTTATTTTCTGTTAGCATCATACAGTTTGTAATTAGAAATGGATATTTTTCTCTGATTTTCTTTTGTAACAGACACTGCTCATGGCTGTGCCAACACATTAACGTGGAGACTACAGAAGAAATATTATAAAAGTGTCATTTAGGTAAGGATAAGAAGCAAAGCGGTGCAAGAGTTGTGCAAACAGCCATTTTGACTACAGATTTATAGTCCATAGACAGCAGCTTCTATGCTGCAGCTTTTCTATCTCTTAAACAGTGTGTAGGTTGTATCAGCACTTTAAAGAATTTTGCATATTGAGTGCAACAACAAATTGGTAACAGTTCTTATCACTACATAAAATTTAGATATAAACTCAGAGGAGTGGAAAGAAGAATGAGAAAAATATTTGAAATTACATTAACAGCTTTTCTCTAGCGCTCGTGCAGCAGAGTACATGTCCCAAAAATGTTGTATGTTCCACTTGAATATGAGGAAAAACTTCTTTAATGTGAAGGTGGTTGTAAAATCTCCTTCAATGGATATTCGAGAAATATCCTGTGCAATGTGCTCTAGGATGACCCTGCTTGACCAGGGAGGTTGGATCAGACACTGTGGTCCCTTCAAACTTCACCCATTCTGTGAAAACCAGAGGACTATGAAAATCACCACCTGACATGCTGCATACAGAATGACACAGACTTTATTTGGCCACCTAGATGTTCCATTACTCTGCTTAAGAAACTGCCTACATCCTTCTCCTTTTCAGGCTGTGTTTGTCCCACAATAAAAGTTCAGTAAAAGCACACACCAAAAAATGTATTACTTGTTTAAAGAAAAGCAACATAGATGTTTAATGAAACTGTCAGGCTATCTACTTTTCCAAAACTGTAGATCAGAAAAGCAAAGTTTGTCATAAGGCAGCAGATTTCTCCAGAAACAAATGGCCTAAAACCAGCGTGAGAAGAAATATGAGTGTAAATAAAGCTCTGGGAGGTACCCCTAACTGGGATTCTGAGCAGAAGTGTCCAAGTCTTGCTGAGGAAAGAGGAAAAAAGTAGCAGTTTCTTTGAAATCTTCCTGAATTTTCTAATCTAGGCAAAGTTCATTGTGGGCATTTCCACCAGTTTTAGCAACATTGGAAACCTTAATGAAGACAAGATTGTTGCAGGGGCAGTTGGTTTTAGTCCTGTGTCAATTACATTTGCTCTGGGCAATGGTATTAAACACTGGCAGCCACACAAGTACTGGCAATGACAGACAGCAGCTGGGATGGTGCAAACTTAGGAGGCCTCTGAAAGCAGCAGAGACCAAGTGTCTCCTGTTGCACCCATAAGTTAAGTTTTTTACAGTAGTAATTACTGGCTTTAGGCATGCATGGGAAGCTGCTGTATTATTTTCTGGAGAAACTGGCACATATTTCACTATCATTCTTCATGCTTAGTGATATTGGAGCATCTGAGGAATGAACCAGGAAAGATTAGACACTGAGTTTTAGAGTCTGTTCTGCATACAGAAAGCATCTAGAGGTAAAACCCTAACCCAATAGTGCTGTGGTAATTGTAGCATTTGCTCTATCAAATTAAAAAATGTGACTGGTTTTCCTGAAAAAGAAAAATGATACTCCATCTCCTCTTTGAAAGAGTAATTTTTTAATGCTGTTTTTGAATGTGGAGCTAGAGATCCTAAAAATAATTCATCAGCTTTATTTAAATTATGCAGTGTAATACATAAAACATGAAGATTACAACATCAAGCAATATAGCTGGAACAAATTAAAACTACTTGTGTGTATGCATTTTAATTCCTTCTTTAATTACTGGTCCCTAACCTCTTTCAGTGGATGCAGAATGAATATGTGGAATTAAGCACAGATACCTAATAGTGCCTGCTCTCTACTCATTGCCAACTCATTGCTTCTCTCTGCTTACATTAATTTCTTTTAAGAGCACTCCTATGAGCTGCATGGTTGCTTTTACTTCATAAGCACTAAGATTAAAGAAAAAATATTAATCGATGTCAAATAGGATTTGATTTCTTGACTCTGTATGTTATGAAATATGTATATGAAATATGGTATATTGCCTGCTGACTTAATTTTCACTAGTAGGCTACCCTAAATGAAACCCCAGCATCTCAAGATTGGTGTTGTGAAAACACGTCTCAACCTCTACACAAAAAATCAGATTAAAGCTATGTGTTGCATGGCATCACACAGAGATTTTTGAGAAAGAAAACTCGGTATCTTACAATTTCTTCAGAAATCTGTAAAGAACAGTCAGCAACTTCAGTCATGATCCTGTTCCCTCCCTTCTAATTTGCCTAGAAATTACACAGGGATTACATATAAAATGCCTCATTTTATTACACAGCTCTGCTCTGAAGCAGAAAAATCTATTCTGTGCACTACAAAAAAAAACGCATGGCCTGGTACGCACCAAGGTTAAGGAAAGGAGTTTGTAGTTGACTTTAGGATATAAAGCACCAATGGGATGAACTTGTACAGGCAACAATTATGTGCTCGATTTTGCAAAATCAGTATGACTGCGCACAATGTAAATAATTTTCTGTTTCCATAGCACTCGCAGGGCCCGCAGCCTGTGCAGCACAGCAGTTGCCATGAGTTTTTTATATCCAGGCCTTTTAGCAGTCAGCATCCACGCACACATCCTTAGGCAAGTGCAAGTCAACCCCCATTAGAAAATTCAGGTTGTAAGGAGGGCTCTCACTTAACGTGCTGCTCAACAGCAAGGCCAGCTGCGTGGTCAGTCCAGATTACTCGGGACTGCGCCTGCTTGGGAGTGGAAATCCCTGAGGAACCCACTCCCACGGCCCAGCTGTTCGCAGCATGAGTAACTTTTTCCTTACACCCAGCCTGACGCTCTCATTTCACCTCACCCCCGTGGTCCCTCAGCAGGACACTGAAGCCCCTGGCTGCCTCTTCTCGACCAGGTCCCCACGAGCGCTGATCCCATCCGCAGGACAGCCCTGACCCTTCGTTTCCCCGCACGGGAGGGTCGCTCCGGCCCCGCCACCTCGGGGTCCCGCCGGGCTCCCGGTGGTGTGTCCGTTCCAACCGAGCGCGGGGGCCCGGCTGGAGGCGGCACCGGCCGAGGGCTGCGGAGAGCCGGGAGGGGTCACCGCCTCCGCTCCGCGCCCGCGCAGCCCGCGGTGCCGCACGGGCTCATTCCGCTCGGAGACACCGCGGGACAGCGGCACCGCACCGCGCGTACGGCCGGCGCCACGCCCGGACTCGCCCGGGGCCACGGCTCGGCAGCGGCGCTGTCGGAGAGCATCTCTCCGGTGCGATGCCCACGCTGAGACGACGCTCCCGAAGCCCGTCCCGGCTCCAGGATAGAACCGCACCCCCGACGGGCAGCGGCCGCTGGAAAGGGCCCAGGAAGAGCGAGCGGGGGCGAAGCTCTATCAGCGGAGATTGACGGCCGCGCCACCCAATGGCGGCGCAGCGAGTGCGGCAGCGGGGCCCGGGCTGCCGGGCCGGGGCGGGCCCGGGGCGGGGCGCGGGGGCGGGCGGGGCACGGATTGGCCGGGGGGCGGGGCCGGCGGGGTTTTCTCCCGGGCTGGGCTGACGGCCGCGGCTGGGAACTTCGGGAGCGTGCGGGCGCCAGCGGCCGTTCCGGCGGCAGGTACCGGCGGGAGCGGTCCCGAGGGAGCGCGGCTTACCGCGGCAGTGGGGAGCGGGAGATGGCGGGAGGAGGGGGTCTGGCGACCGGAGCGTTGCGGGGAACTGGGGGCCGGGGGCCGCTTTGCCGCGTATCCGTCGCCGTTTTACTTGCTTCGCTCTGCTTGCCGCGGGATGCGGAGGCTGCGGGCGGGGCCGGCCCGGCTGATCGGGTAGAGCTGCCCCCTCCCTTCTTCCTTCCCTCCTGTGCCGGCCCCGAGCGGCGGCGGCGGGGCGGGCGGACGGGGGGCTGTCAGCGCCGCGGCCGGCAGGGGGCGGCAGCGGCCCCGAGGACGCGCGTCCGGGGGCGGCGGGGGTGAGCTCCGAGCCGCAGCCCCTCGGCCCCGGGCGAACAGCGGAGCGGCTGCGGGGGCTGGCTCCTCCCTCCCTCCTCTTCCCGCAGCCACGGGCGCTGGGCCCGGCGAGGCGAGCCGTTCGTGGCCGCTCCTCGCCGCTCGGTTCCGAGCCTCCTCGCGGGGCTGCCGGCGCGGGCAGTGCCGCGCCCGCCGCCTCCGGCCGCGGCTCCACGGACCCCGGGCGGGGCTG